TCTTGCCTGATTGCTGTGGCTAGAACTTCCAGTACTATATTGAATAGGAGTGGTGAAAGAGGGCATCCTTGTCTAGTGCCAGATTTCAAAGGGAATGCTTCCAGTTTTTGCCCATTCAGTATGATATTGGCTGTTGGTTTGTCATAAATAGCTTTTATTACTTTGAGATACGTTCCATCGATACCGAGTTTATTGAGGGTTTTTAGCATAAAGGGCTGTTGAATTTTGTCAAATGCCTTCTCTGCGTCAATTGAGATAATCATGTGGTTTTTGTTTTTGGTTCTGTTTATGTGGTGAATTACGTTGATAGACTTGCGTATGTTGAACCAGCCTTGCATCCCTGGGATGAATTCTACTTGATCATGATGGATAAGTTTTCTGATTTGCTGTTGCAATCGGCTTGCCAATATTTTATTGAAGATTTTTGCATCTATGTTCATCATGGATATTGGCCTGAAGTTTTCTTTTCTTGTTGGGTCTCTGCCGGGTTTTGGTATCAGGATGATGTTGGTCTCATAAAATGATTTGGGAAGGATTCCCTCTTTTTGGATTGTTTGGAATAGTCTTAGAAGGAATGGTACCAGCTCCTCTTTGTGTGTCTGGTAGAATTCGGCTGTGAACCCGTCTGGACCTGGGCTTTTTTTGTGTGGTAGGCTCTTAATTGCTGCCTTGACTTCTGACTTTGTTATTGGTCTATTCATAGTTTCAGCTTCCTCCTGGTTTAGGCTTGGGAGGACACAGGAGTCCAGGAATTTATCCATTTCTTCCAGGTTTACTAGTTTATGTGCATAGAGTTGTTTGTAATATTCTCTGATGATGGTTTGAATTTCTGTGGAATCTGTGGTGATTTTTCCCTTTATCAGTTTTTATTGCATCTATTTAGTTGTTTTCTCTTTTATTTTTAATCAATCTGGCTAGTGGTCTGTCTATTTTGTTGATCTTTTCAAAAAACCAGCTCTTGGATTTATTTATTTTTTGAAGGGTTTTTCATGTCTCAATCTCCTTCAGTTCAGCTCTGATCTTAGTTATTTCTTGTCTTCTGCTGGGTTTTGAGTTTTTGTGATCTTGCTCCTCTAGCTCTTTCAATTTTGATGATAGGGTGTCAATTTTGGATCTCTCCATTCTCCTCATATGGGCACTTATTGCTATATACTTTCCTCTGGAGACTGCTTTAAATGTGTCCCACAGATTCTGGCATGTTGTGTCTTCATTCTCATTGGTTTTGAAGAACTTCTTTATTTCTGCCTTCATTTCCTTGTTTATCCAGTCAACATTCAAGAGCCAGTTGTTCAGTTTCCATGAAGCTGTGCGCTTCTGTGTTGGTTTCTGAATTCTGAGTTCTAACTTGATTGCACTATGGTCTGAGAGGCTGTTTGTTACGATTTCAGTTGTTTTGCATTTGCTGAGCAGTGCTTAACTTCCAATTATGTGGTCAATTTTAGAGTAGGTGTGATGTGGTGCTGAGAAGAATGTATATTCTGTGGATTTGGGGTGGAGAGTTCTGTAAATGTCTATCAGGTTTGCTTGCTCCAGGTCTGAGTTCAAGCCCTGGATATCCTTGTTGATTTTCTGTCTGGTCGATCTGTCTAATATTGACAGTGGAGTGTTAAAGTCTCCCACTATTATTGTGTGGGAGTCTAAGTCTCTTTGTAAGTCATTAAGAACTTGCCTTATGTATCTGGGTGCTCCTGCATTGGGTCCATATATGTTTAGGATCGTTAGCTCTTCTTGTTGTAACGATCTTTTTACCATTATGTAATGGCCTTCTTTGTCTCTTTTGATCTTTGTTGCTTTAAAGTCTATTTTTTCAGAGATGAGAATTGCAACTCCTGCTTTTTGCTCTCCATTTGCTTGGTAAATCTTCCTCCATCCCTTTATTTTTAGCCTTTGTGTATCCTTGCATGTGGGATGGGTTTCCTGGATACAGCACACTGATGGGTTTTGGATTTTTATCCAATTTGCCAGTCTGTGTCTTTTGATTGGTGCATTTAGTCCATTTACATTTAGGGTTAATATCGTTATGTGTGAATTTGATACTGCCACTTTGATGCTAGCTGGCTGTTTTGCCTGTTAGTTGTTGTGGATTCTTCATTATGTTGATGCTCTTTAGCATTTAGTGTGATTTTGGAATGGCTGGTACTGGTTGTTCCTTTCTATGTGTAGTGCCTCCTTTAGGAGCTCTTGTAAAGCAGGGCTGGTGGTGACAAAATCTCTGAGTACTTGCTTGTTCGCAAAGGATTTTATTTTTCCTTCACTTCTGAAGCTCAGTTTGGCTGGGTATGAAATTCTGGGTTGAAAATTCTTTTCTTTAAGAATGTTGAATATTGGCCCCCACTCTCTTCTGGCTTGTAGGGTTTCTGTCGAGAGATCTGCTGTGAGTCTGATGGGCTTCCCTTTGTGGGTGACCCGACCTTTCTCTCTGGCTGCCCTTAGTATTTTCTCCTTTATTTCAACCTTGTTGAATCTGACGATTATGTGCCTTGGGGTTGCTCTTCTTGTGGAATATCTTTGTGGTGTTCTCTGTATTTCCTGCATTTGAGTGTTGGCCTGTCTTGCTAGGTGGGGGAAATTTTCCTGGATGATGTCCTGAAGAGTATTTTCCAGCTTGGATTCATTCTCTTCGTCCCCTTCTGGTACACCTATCAAACGTAGGTTAGGTCTTTTCACATAGTCCCACATTTCTTGGAGACTTTGTTCATTCCTTTTTGCGCTTTTTTCTCTGATCTTGGTTTCTCGTTTTATTTCATTGAGTTGATCTTCAACTTCAGATATTCTTTCTTCTGCTTGGTCAATTTGGCTATTGAAACTTGTGCATGCTTCGCGAAGTTCTCATATTGTGTTTTTCAGCTCCTTTAATTCATTCATATTCCTCTCTAAGTTATCCATTCTTGTTATCATTTCCTCAAATCTTTTTTCATATCTTTTTTCAAGGTTCTTAGTTTCTTTGCATTGATTTAATACATGTTCTTTTAGCTCACAAAAGTTTCTCATTATCCACCTTCTGAAGTCTAATTCCGTCATTTCGTCACAGTCATTCTCCGTCCAGCTTTGTTCCCTTGCTGGTGAGGGGTTTTGGTCCTTTCTAGGAGGCGAGGTGTTCTGGTTTCGGGTGTTTTCCTCCTTTTCGTGCTGGTTTCTTCCCATCTTTGTGGATTTATCCACCTGTCGTCTGTGTAGTTGCTGACTTTTCAAGGGTCTCTGAGTGGACACTCAGATTGTTGGTGATGAAGTATTTCTGTTACTTGGTTTTCCTTCTACCAGTCTAGCCCCTTCGCTGTACAACTGCTGAGGTCCACTCCAGGCCCTGCTTGTCTGGGGTGAACCTATAGTAGCTGCGGAACAGTGAGGGATGCTACCAGTTTCTTTTTCTACTATCTGTGTCCCAGGATGATGCCTGCCAAATGTCAGTCTTTTGGATATAGAGGGGTCAGGGAGCTGCTTGAGGAGACAGTCTGTACTTTATAGGAGCTGAATTGCTGAGCTGTGAGCTCTGTTGTTCATTCAGGGCTGTTAGGCTGCTATGTTCAATTCTGCTGCAACAGAGCTCATTAAAAAACCCTTTTTTTCTCAGATGCTCTGTCTTGGGGGGTTGGGGCTTTATTTTTGGATGTCCGTTGAGGTGTCCTGCTCAGCTAGGAGGCAGTCTAGTCACTATTTGCCTGCTGAGGCTCTGCCCTGCTGTTGTGAGGTTCGCCCTGTTGCTTCAGGTTCTGCTCTTCTGCTGCGGTCTCCACCCTGCTGTCACAGGCTACGCCCTGTGGTGGAGTCTCTCTGTTGTAGCGGGTTGCCTCGGCAATGGCAGGCTGCATCAGCAGTGGGCGTGTATCTCAGTAGGGGCGGATTGCCTTGGTAATGGTGGACGCCCCTCCCCCATGGAGCGTCTCAGGGAACGTCTCCACCGGGAGCGTTTGGAATCGCCGTTTTGTCCGTCCCACTGTGCTACCCCAAACGCTGTGTCCCTGCAATCCCCTGGGCTGGCCCACTGTCCAAGTCCCGTTCAGTCTCAAGTTCAGCCCTCTCAAGTCTCAGGTTGCCAGTTCAACAGGGCACCCGGACAAGCGCGCCCTGTGCGGAGCGCTGTGTAGGGCCGGCCGCCACCACCCCGTCTGCCGGCTGCACCAGCCAAAACCTCTGCCTGGCGTCCTGCATCTCCTTTATACCTGGGAATTTCCCCATTCTGTGGGCAACAAAGATCAGTCTGGAAATGCAGCTCTGACTCACCTCTCCGTGCATTCACTGAGAGCTTCTATCCTGGGTTGTTCTCACAGTGCCATCTTGAGTCCTCCCCTTGTGCATTCTTTCATATGCTTACGGGCCACTTGTATGTCTTCTTCTGAAAAATGTTCATGTCCTTTGCTCACTCTTCAATGGGATAATTTAGTTTTTGAAATTGTTGAGTTGCTTGAGTTCCTTATATATTCTGGATATTAGTCTTTTGTCAGTTGCATAATTTGAAAATATTTCCTCCCATTCGGTAGGTTGTCTGAGTATTTCTTGTGCTGTGCAGAAGTTTTTAAGTTGAATTAAAGTCCCATTTTTTTATTTTCTGTTTTTGTTGCTTTTATATCTTTGAGGTCTTAGTCGTGAAGCCTTTGCCTAGGCCAATATCCAGAAGAGTTTTGCTTAGGTTTTCTTCTAGAATTTTTATATTTTCAGGTCTTACATGTAAGCCTTTAATTTTTGTGTATGGTGAGAAATAGGGGTCTAGTTTTTCATTGTGCACATGGCTCTCCCATGTTCTTAGTATTATTTATTGAATAAGCGATTCTTTCCCCACTGTATGTTTTTGTTTACTTTGTCAAATATTGCTCATTTCTGGGTTTTGTTTTTTGTTCCATTGATATATGTATCTATTTTTATGCTAATATACCGTTTTGGTTACTATAGCCTTGTAGTATAATTTGAAGTCAGGTAATGTGATGCCTCTAGCTTTGTTGTTTTTGCTTAGTATTGCTTTGGCAGTTTAGGCTCTTTATTGGTTCTATATAAATTTCAGGATTAAAAATATGGAATGCTTCATGAATTTGCATGTCATCCTTGTGCAGGGACTGTGCTAACCTTCTCTGTATCATTCCCATTTTAGCATATGTGCTGTTGAAGTGAGTACTCCTCTTACTTTTTCAATGCCTTCCATTTCTACCTCTGATACGATCTTTGATGATACTATTCAGATGTTGGCCAGATTGTCTGAGAGCTACAGACCTGACCTCCTTGTCTGGTCCTTTCAACTGCTTTTAGATGTTAAGCCACTAGCCTATGTAAGGGAACTATATGAAATAGGCATTTATACTTGCTATGGTTTTTTACTGTCGAGATGTTGCCTGTCTCAGCATAGAGTGACTTCTGAATGCAGTGCCACATGGTAAATTCCTCTCAAGTCTCAGTATTAACAAAACTGTGTACTTAACAACTGCCTTGAATCATCCGGGTGAGTTACTCTTGTAAGGCGAGTGTGTTTCCACATAGAGCAGTGCATGCTTCACCGGCTTGAATACCAGGAAGGTTATCAGGAAAAGCTCTGGCAAAATCATGATGGTTTTATTGCTTTTACATTTTTATTCTACTATCATTGTATTTCCCTTGGATGTTTATTCCTTTACTCTCTCTCTCTCTCTCTTTCTATATGTATATATGTTGCATATATACATATATATACACACACATATATAATCTCATAAACTACTTTAATTCCTTGTGGAAACAAATTGTAGTAGAGGTAGCAAATCTATATCCAGATACCTCTGCATTATGTAAAATATAATGGTTTTGCCAATATGCTTTTTCCCTCCTTTCATACCATCCGTTGACTGTAACAATGGTTCTCAAACTCAAGTGTGTATCAGAATCAGCTGCATGTCCCCAACACACAGATGCATTCGATAAATGTTAGCCAAATAAATACATAAATGGGAAGTTCCTGCTTGGGAAACAAGATATTTCCTGGGAAAAGTGTGATAATTTGTAAAATGACTATTTTTCTACTGGGAATAGCACATCATTGGTGCTGGCCCCATACAGAGCAGAGCCGCTGTGCTGATCGGGAAGTATTTGAGCAGCAGCTAATGAAGACTGCTAAAGCCTGCTTTGCTGTTTCATCCACAGCACACAGGCAGCATCTGTCCTGTGGCTCCTTTGTCCTTCTTCCACCTCCTCAGCAATTAGAGGCTCCTGAACTACAATGGCAATGACTCAGGAAACTGTTGTTGAAAAGTCCATGTCAAGTTCTCTGTATGTCACCGAAGACAGGGACATTTTGGGGAGAACCTGGCTGCTAATCCATTCTTGTCATGAGGGAAGACTTTTTCTCTTTCTGTAGTGAGCAACAAGGCCACTTGGTAAGCTACAGAATTATCTAACTAGTATTTCTGAATCTAGAGAAATACAAGCTTTGCTTTATTAAAGGGCTTATTACATGTCAGTGTTGAAAATGAGACATGCTGCTGCTCAAACTTGCAAGTGTGACATGGTTCTTTCCCTTTTCACAGATGAAGAAACTGAGGTTCATGGAAGTTAAATAACCTGCCCACAGAGCACAACTAATAGGGAACTAAGCTAGGGCTTCAACTGAGATCTGTGAGAATCAAAGCACATGCTCTTCCCGCCCCTCAATAGCTTTCCTGCTAACCGCCAAGAGACTCTGGGCTGCCAGGAACATCACAGAAGGGACCACTGTCAATCATTAGATCTCCAGTCTTTAAGACATGCTTTTGAAGAAAGATTTAGCTGCTAAAAGAAAATATTAATATACAAAAAGGATAATACTACCATACTTCACAATATTGCTTCGTTTTAATACAAGAAGACTCCTCCAGCTTAAACATTTGATGTTTAAGAAGCAAACCAGCAAGCTGCCCTCTGGGAATGCACACTGTCAGGGATGGTCAGTGGCCCTAACATCATGTTCACAAGCTAGCAGCTTTGTACAAGCTGTCAGGACTCAGAACGTGGTACCCCAAAGTATGGCTTCTTGGTGTGCTGAGTATGATGGGCTAAAGGACATTGGAAGGGTCTCAGAAGCAGTGTCTCTTTGACCTTCCTCCATCCTCCTGTCTCCCACCTGTCTTTCTCCCCTGAAGTGAGTCATGGCAACCAGAATTCCTCTTTCCCAAGATGTGTCACAGAAACTAGAACCCCTCTCCTCCATGGGAAGCTGTGAAACCCAGAAAGGTCATTCTCTCCCTTTCCCCATCTCCCTTGAAGACCCTCATTCCAGAGGGGCCCGGCCCCATACCTAGGAAGAAGGAATGCTATACAGAGAGGTTGAGAAGAAGCTGAACAGTCAGGCCTTGCTGGGCTCCCTGCTTAGCCTATCACCATTAGATTACATCCTTCAGTCCATCACATGTCTACACTGCTGTCCATTCTTTGTCAAACCTAAGAATAAAAAACGTTTTCCCTGGGTCTTTGGATCTTCATTTCTGAAGAGTCCCATGTTACATTCATTATGCTTCTCTCTTTTTAACCTGTCTTTTGTTATAGGAGTGACTCTTATGATGGGTGGGGAAAGTATCACACATTTCTGCCCCTACAAGGCCAAAAATGTTGGCCTAGGAATGATGCGAAGCTCAAGGCCATAGCCACTCACAACCTTTTCTCTCTACCACCAAGACTTGTAGATATGATGTGAATAATTTTAATGTTGATATAGAGGGGAGCCAATGCAGACAATAACTTCTCAGTTATCTACAAGTTTGGTAAAAGAGCTCGCATCTTGTATTCTTTTCCCTGCAACAAACATTTATTCAGCATCTGCTGAATGACAGGTGCAGTTCTAGGGAATAGGGATCCAGTAGTGAACACAATTCAAAAAGTCCATTCCTTCATGAAAATTGCATTCTTGTGCTGGGAGACAGGCAATAAATATATTACACATAAAATGTTGATAACGGTACCATGTCTTGCTTACTGCCTTCTGTAAGCAACCTTTTATAAACTCTTTGCTAACTTGAAGGCATTGAAAGTTTTACAAAAATATTGGCTTGTTTATTAAAGAAGAAGTATAGTAAAATGTGCACTCATTACAGGTTGAGTATCCCTTGTCCAAAATGCCTGGGACCCAGAAGTGTTTTGAATTTCTGAGTTTTTCAGGTTTTGGAACATTTGCGATTTACTCTACTTACTAGTTGGGTGTCCCAAATGTGAAACTCCAAAATCCAAAATGCTCCGATGAGTATTTCCTTTGAGTTTCATGTTGGTCCTCACAAAGCTTTGGATTCTCCAGCATTTTTGATTTTTGATTTTTGGATTTCAGATGCTTGACCAGCAATATATTCCAGCAAATATTTAAAGAATAGGTATGTCTGTGTGGCCAGCCCTGTCCCTGGCGTCTTATATGTATTATCCCACTGAATTACCAGCAAACATTTAAAGAATAGGTATGTCTGTGTGGCCAGCCCTGTCCCTGGCGTCTTATATGTATTATCCCACTGAATTACCAGCAAACATTTAAAGAATAGGTATGTTTGTGTGGCCAGCCCTGTCCCCGGCATCTCATATGTATTATCCCACTGAATTACCAGCAAACATTTAAAGAATAGGTATGTCTATGTGGCCAGCCCTGTCCCCGGCGTCTCATATGTATTACCCACTGATTACCACAGCAGCCTGTGAAGCAGGTACTCTTACTATCTGCATTTCCTGGAGGAGGAGAGTGTGGTACAGGAAAGTTAAACAATTTACTTGTAGTTAATCCAGGAAGTCACACTCCAGAGCTCACAGTAGGCACTGCTATACTGTCAATGACAAATATGGCCTTTGTCACTCAACACAGAGATGGAATGTCACCAAGGTTGCAGCATATGGCTGCATAAATTGCATAAGCACAGTTGGGGATGGGGGTGGCAAGCTGACCCTGTTTGGTGCGGCAGACCTGTTGCTTTGCTATCACTGATTGCAGTTAGGCAATGTTGTTTAATTTAAATTTACCTTCACATAAGCATAATAAGACACCAGAGGAAAATCATGCTTTCCAACATAACTAGAAATAAAATTATTCATCTATTATTATTATTTGCCAATGAGACAATAATTAAAACCATGGAAGCCGTGTATATTCCAGAGACATGTATATAGGCTGACTATATACGTTATCTACACTTTAGATAGGCCATTTAAAGTAAAGTAGTATGCTAGCAATTTGGAGGACAGAATGAACTTCTCCATACAAAATGTTCACACCTCTCAGCTTAACCTGGAGCTTCCAATTTCTGTATGGCCACTTCTCACCATCTGTTTATGTTGGCGCAGGGTGGGAGGCAATTCACTTCATTTGGGTAGGCGTCCTCCACTACACTTATGAGTAAAGACCTGCAAGCTAAGTAACAGAAATAAGGAGGGGAAATGAAACCCCAACAAGCACTTCACTGGGAGGCGTCCCTTGCAATCTGCACTGATGGGTATTAGTCTAGCAACCCCTGCCCACGGCAGCTGTTCCTCTGACTGCTGACAGGGTTTGCTTCCTTTACCCAAATCTGTGTCAGGGCAAAATTCCACTGAAGTATGGTCATAAGTTTCATCTCCCAGACAAATAAACAAGCAGCCTATATTCCACCAGACCAGATCTGAGTATGAGCAACGGCTGTGGCAAGAGTGCCTGTGGCCAGTACGAGTGTCACCTGCGTTAAGTCCGAGAAGTGGCTTTGGGCAGCAGTAGGAATGTTAAAAATGATGCTGCTTGAAGGAAAATAGTTAATTTCATATTTGAGGAAACTTTCTGGATGCTTACTTAGCAAATGAGATTCAAAATTTGAGCTGCTATTGCTTTCTTATTCTCTTTACACTCTGCATCCAAGGTAGGTCCAGTTTCAGAAGTGTCCTTTTTATTGCCTTGAATTTCTGTCTGGTTTCCTTCCCCCATAGCATCTTTAACCAGAAAGAAGGCATCTTCTCTTACTATCCTGCTTTCTGCTTGTGTGAGCTTAGAGATGTATTGTGTTCTCTCTCTCTCTGTTTTTCTCCTCTGGGGAAGCTTGTTAGGAAAAACCAGCTTTATAAATTGCAAGTTTTCCTGCAAAGATCCTTGGCATATAGCTGGCTGCTATTTCATCTTTTTAAAATATGATCAACATTCCGTGTCCTGTAAAAAAGGAAATTCCTTTAGAATTATGT